CCCCTCAGACTCACCAGGGATCCCCAAACCCCCCCGGGGGTTCCCCCAAACACCCCCCGTGCCCCCCAGGCTGTTTCTGTGTCGCGATGGACTCGGGGGTCCGGATCTTCAACGTGGAGCCGCTGATGGAAAAGGGGCACCTGGGTGAGGGTCTGGGGGTCCCCCTGCCCGGGGGGGCCCTGGAGGGGGCTCGGGGTCTTCAGGGGCAGAGTTGGAGCTGGGGGAGGAGGTTTGGGCTGCTCTGGGGTCAGGTCTGGAGGGTGCTGCGGCATTTTGGGGGTACCTAAGCCTGGGGGGGTGTTTGGGGGTCTCTGGGTCTGGGGGTGGTGGCAGTTTTTTTGGGGGGGGCGTGTTTTGGTGGTCCCTACTTTGAGGAGAAACATTTTTGGCCGTGTTTGGGGATATCCTTAAGGCAGAGATGCAGTTTTGGGACATCTTGGGCTATTCTGGGGTCTCCCAGGCCTAGCGGGGGGAGGGCTGAATTTTGGGGGAGTCCTTCAGCTTTTTTGGGAGTCTCTCCTATTCGGGGGTGTTGCTCTGCTTTGGGGGGATCTCCCAGCTGTGGGGGGATCCCTGAACTGGGGCTGTCTCCCAGACGCGGAGCAGGTGGGCAGCGTGGGGCTCGTGGAGATGCTGCACCGCTCCAACCTCTTGGCCATCGTGGGCGGGGGCAGCCACCCCAAGTTCCCCGACGCCTCAGGTGCGCCCCAAAACCTGGGGGGTTTCCCAAATTCCCTGACAGATCTCCCAAAACCTGGAGGTCACCCAGAATCAGGGTTGTCTCCGACACCCTTCTGGAGGGGTCCCCGTTATTGGGGTAGCCCCTCGGAGCCCCCCTGATGCCCCGGCCTCCCCAGTGCTGATCTGGGACGACGCCCGTGAGGGGAAAGACAAACTGGTGCTGGAGTTCAGCTTCCCCAAGCCAGTGCTGGCCGTGCGCATGCGGCACGACAGGTACTGGGGGCACTGGGAGGGACTGGGGGCACTGGGTGGGGGCCAAAGTGGTGGTGGTTATGCTCATGCAGTGCGCCAGGCGGGACTGGGGAGGGTAACTGGGTGAACTGGGAAGACTGGGGGGCTGCTGGGGGTCCCCTGAAGCCCCCCTGTGTCCCCAGGCTGGTGGTGGCCCTGCAGAGCCGCCTGTACGTGTTCTCCTTCCCCCACCGCCCCACCAAGCTCTTCGAGTTCGACACCCGTGACAACCCCAAAGGTGGGGCACCCCAAAAACCGTGGGGACACCCCAAAAACTGGGGGGAAGCCTGAACTGGGGGTGCCTGGGAACTGGGGGATCCCAAACGGGGGGAGCCTGAAACGTGGGGTGGACCCCAAGAATCTGGGAGGGACCCTAAAACCTGCGGGGACATGTTTGGGGGGTGGGAGGGACTGAGCCCCCTCCCTGTTCTTCCTACCTGGGGGGTGGTTTGAGGGACCCCAAAGCCCCACCAGGGGACACCCCAAAATTCTGGGATGGCCTCAAAATCCTGGAACCCCAGGGGGTTTGGGGAGGGG